ACTTCGTGAAATGTTGGCACAGAGGGCTCTTGTTGATTTGCTGGCCCGCCTTCACTTAGGGCGGGCAAGAGGCTTGCTGGGGCCTTAGCCCAGAACATGTACATCATGGCAAGGCCCCTTCTTGAGGGCTCAATCCTCACAAGTGTGAGCGACATACATAAAACCAAGTTGCGAAATCACACAGCTGAACAAGTAGTCGTGTCCCAAGCAGAGAGTACAAATGCACCGAGAAAACCATCCATATAGAGCAATACAATGAAGTAATGAGCCAATGTTCATGCCCATAGGCCACACCAACACAGTATCCAAAGTCGCTCTCTCCTGTCTGGCGCTCGGCGCCCAGCTTACTCTACCTGACTAGCCTACCTACAGCCGGTTCACGCAACAGGATCACTTCGAATCTCGAAGACCAATGTACATGACTGCCAACACCATCGCCGACCTCTCTTCATGTACCAKGTACGTATCTCGTCACCCTCAATCAGACCTTGATTACCCCACACAGCGCCTCCTTCCCTGAAGACCACCTGATCATCCGCTGTACCCCATGGCGCCCAGCAGCCCGGCTATGGCTGCCTGCGCCCCGCTGCCCTGCAGCACCCCACTTCACCTCTCGCGCCCCGTCAACGCCCTTGGCAGCAGCGCAGCATCAAGCGAGAGCGCAGCAGCACTTCCGCATTGCCAGCGCTGGCCAGAATGCTTGGCATGGGCTGCTTCCTTCCTTTTGTGGAAGTGGCAGCCTCTTTGATGCTGTGTGTGGCCTGGCTGGAAGCTTCCAGTAGCTTCCGGTTGGGTCCCAGACCCTGTGCCCAGGCCCGAGACTACAGTTGAGGGCCTGGGCCCTTTGCAGTTAGGCACGGCATGAGTCTCCAGACTTGGGCTGTTTGCTGCATCTGTGCAGGGCTCCCAGGCAGGTGCGTTGGCACTACTGCTTTGCAAAGGCCGAAGGCCTGCTTCCCAGTGTATCGGCCCTGCTTTGTGTATGTGTGCCCAGGCGCAACTGTCAAGGCCTGGGCCAACTGTATGACGCAGCAATGTGAGGGTCACGCGTCTTCCCAACCAACTTGCGTGCTGCGAGAGCCTGAATACCCACATATGGAAATGTCGAATTTTGCCTTTGACGAATATTCAGGCCCGTCTTCACCTACGGCGGGCACTTGGCTTGCTGGGGGCCTTAGCCCAAAACAATGTGATGTCTGATAGGGGCCCTTGAGGGCTTGTTCCTCACATTCCATCCCCCTTAGCTTCGAAAGTCTGTTGAGATGCTTCATGCTGGTTCCCTCCCCTTCAGTTTCTTCTCATAATCTGCCACGATCCGAGGAGCTGTCTTGACAAGTTCCTCCCTTGAAATCCATCGATCTTCCTTAGGATCTGTATGATGCCTGAAATGTACTCTGTATTCCCTCGCAGGTTTGGGAGGTCTTCCCCTGCCAGGTGGCTTGGGAACAGGTGTGTCTATGTGATCCAGGGCCATCCATGGTTGGGGGCAGCATAGATCTCCGTGATGGGAACTGTGCTGTCTCAGCGAAAGGTGCAAGCTTGGAGGCGTGAAAAACAGGGTACGTGCGTAAGTGACCAGGGATACGAATGACATACGAGGGACCATTCAAATCATTCCCCACAATTCCTAGGGACCGAAATACTGAGGCATTAGTTTCCCAGAGATGCTAGACTCCTGTCCCAACTCACTAGCCTTGACCCAGACACGTTCCCCTACCTGAAATGTGCACTGTGTGCGACGCTTGTTCTCAGAAGCAATCATGACTTCTTGAGATTTCTTGATGTGTTTGACAGTCTGCTGCAACAGTTTCTCATACTAGACACCAAATTCAATGGTTCCAGGAGTTGCGGCAGTTCGGTTTTCAGGCACGAGGAAGTCTAGAGCAGATCTAGGCTTCCACCCCAGATGAAGTTGATTAGGACTGACGTCGGTGGTGTTGTGTACAGCGTTGTTGTACAAGCTGGCGATGAGAGGTAATTTCTCGTCCCAGTCATCCGGGTTGGGCTTGATGTAATGCCTCAGCAGATGCTGCGATGCTGCACCACTCGGTTCATCTGTTCAACCTGCCCATTTGCTTCGGGATGATTCCCAAAAGTCATTTGAAGCTGGTTGCCCATCTGTTCAGCCGCCGTCTTCCACATCTCGCTTGTGAAGCGTACATCTCTCTCGCTAACGATTGTTTTCAGAAGTCCAAAGTCACGCACCCAGTTGTCCATGAACAACTTGATGATGTGCTTAGTCCTGGAAGTCTCTAGCATGGCGATTAGTCTACCGTACGTAGTGAACCTATCCACTATGACGAAGATGTGCCTCTTGCCATTCTTGCTGGTCACGAGAGTATCCATGAAGTCCATGGAGATACTCTGCCCTGGGCCAGCAGGAATGGGTAGAGGCTTGAGTAACCCAAGCGGAGCTTGAGTCTGCGGCTTGTCCCCCTGACAGCGCTGACAGGTCTGTACGTACTTCTTTGCATCGTTCAGCATGTTAGGCCACCAAAATCGTTGTACTAAGTTAGCACTAGTCTTCTTGTAGCCGAAATGTCCCGTTGCGTCATGGCACTCACCTAAAAATAAACTACGCAAATCTTTTCTAGATGGAACAACTAATCTCTTAAACCCTGCCTTCTCAAGAAAGAGCAACCCATCCACCATCACAAACTGATCAGTGGTGGCCTTGTCTTTAGCCTAAAGTTTGTTGATGATGTCCATTGTTATGGGATCTTCCTTGTAGGCTTCCTCCATAGATCGACTCACGTCCTCAGATAGGCCAAACTCATAAATCAGCGCACCCAGGTAATCCGCCCTTCTAGACAACGCATCTGCAACCTTGTTGTACTCTCCCTTCACATAGTCTACTTTGAAGTCATACTGATCTATGACTTCAATCCAACGTTTGAGTGCATCGGAGAGAACCGGTTGTGTCTTGATCCACTTGAGGGTCTGATGGTTAGTTCTCAAATAGAAAAACCTTCCTAACAGATAGTGCCTTCCGTGGACGAGTGCCTTGTAGAGAGCGTAGAGTTCCCTCTCGTAGGTGGACTTTGCCAACTTCTTTGATGGCATCTTTTTGCTCATGTACTTGACCGGTCTCAACTTTTTCCCTTCCTGCTGAGCCAACACTGCGCCAATGTCGTATTGGCTTGCGTCAGTGGTTACAACAAATGGCCTTTGCGGGTCGGGTACCATGAGAACCTCATGGTGCGTGAGAGCATGCTTCAAATGTTTGAAAGCTGCCTCACACTCGTCGGTCCAGTCCCATGGTGTGTCAAGTCGAGTTAGATCAGTCAAGGGAGATGCGATCGTGCTATAGTTCTTTACAAAGTTGCGGTAATAACCACACATTCCCAAGAATGATCTGACCTCAGTCACTGATTGGGGTTGTGGCCAGTCCTTGATGCTAGCCACTTTCGTATATTCGGGCCTAATCCCGTCCGCGGATACTTCATGACCCAAGTACAAGATTCGAGTGCGACCGAACTCGAATTTCTCTGCGTTTATCTAATACTTGTGCTGTCGGAGGAGAGAAAGTACTTTGTCTACATGCTGAGCATGCTCCTCGACAGTTCTACTAAAGATAAGTATATCGTCGAGGTACACGACAACGAACTTATCTAAGTAGTCATCGAAGATCCTATTCATGGCGTGCTGGAATGTACCCGGCGCATTGCAAAGGCCAAAGGGCATCACTACAAACTCGTACAGACCGTACCTGGTTTGAAATGCGGTTTTGTGCTGGTCCTCTGGTCTAATGGCAATCTGATGGTAGCCAGATTTTAAGTCTATTTTTGTATAATACTGACATCCCTGCACCCTATCCAATAGGTCGTCGATGCGTGGTAGAGGCTCTGCGTTCTTAACGGTGATGGCATTGAGGCCTCTATAATCAATGCACATCCTCAGTGTTCCCCCTTTCTTTGGAACAAGTTGGACTGATGAGCCAAAGGGGGAAGTGCTAGGCCGTATCCAACCCTTTTTTGTGAGCTCTTTCAATTGCCGACGAAGCTCGTCCAACTCGGCCGGAGCCATTCTATAGATTCTCCCTTTAGGTGTCTTGCTACCTGGGATGATCTGTATTGCATGGACAACCTCCCTGTCTACGACTCGTGAGGGCTCCTCAAACAGATCAGGGTACTTAGCAACGATGGTCTCTATCTCTAGGGGTGTTTTAACAGCCTCCCCTTTTGCAGAGACATAGACTAAGTACATTCCTTCCTCTTGGTTCTGTTTATAATAGTTGTAGAAGGCAGATGCGCATAAGCACCCATAGGAGTCTATTAACCTACTGGCTTTATATTTAGCCAGTCTAACGGTTCTCTCACTAGGCAACTCGTGCTTCAACACCTTCTTGTCCCAGTCAAACTGGGGATTGGCAACCTCGAGGTAGTACATGCCCAACAACATGTCAAAGGGAAACTTGTTGCTCACCAGGAATGATATCTTATGATTTATCTCTCCTCCTGGGTAGGAGAAGGTGCAGACTGCATCTTTAACGCAGTCCTCCACCATCATGTGCTCTTTGTTGGCCAAGGTAGATGCTACCGATGTACTAAGGCGCTGCACCCGGTCCTTTAGGCACAGTCTGTCAACGCAGTCGCGACTTATGAAGTTTCGTGTGGAGCCAATGTCTACGAAGGCGCCGCACTTGCGACCACCGACACCAACTTCCACAACGAAGTGCTCCCCTCTAGGACCTCTACTCAGTGCCACCCAGGACTCACGAGGCTCCCTTGCCGACCACTCACCTTGAAGGTCCTCTAAGGCCTCAGACACATCCAACGTACATAGTATAGTTGGGTCTGGATGCATCTGCGGGGTGACTAAGGAGTCAATAGCTTTGGCCATCTCTTGAAACGGGGAGGGTACATCACCCGCTTCAACGAGAGTAGAAGCAGCTACATCTTCTACCGACCCTAAGTGTTTCCCGAGCTGGAACTCGGCCCCAGACTGAGAAGAAGAAAACCCACCCTTAGGAGGGATCTTCTGCGAGACCTTCAGGTTCTTGCATTTAAACTGCGTATGGCCGTACTCGCCGCAGTTTATGCAAGCACCACGTGACCAACGATCCCGCCACACTTCTTGAACCAGACGTGCCCTAACCCAAGCTGCTATTTTGTTTGGGTTGGAGGCCTGCCCCTGACTCCTTTGTTGACTGCCCTTGCTGCGGCCTGCTGCCTTAGTCTTAACTGCTGCGGCAAGGTTGCTACCCTCAGCACTCTCCTTGCATCTAACTCTGCACCCGCCTCAAGTTGAGAAACATCATCGATTTCAGTTTGATTCCCTTCGGAATCAACCATCATCAATCGACTACCCTTCTTCTTCCACTCTTGTGGAGTCTTCTTCCTTCTCTCGTTCGTAGAAGGGGTTTGAGCACTACCCAACGTAGCCTGTAAGTCTAAGGCCTTCTTGCTGAATGTCTCAAAGGTGTGATACTCTCTACGAGCCTCACTGGCCAATAAGTTCTTGATGTCTGTGGGAAGACATCTCAAGAACGTGGTCAACAAGACCTGGGGATTGTACTCCACTCCTGGGACAACGATCAGGCGCTCTACAGTTGTGGTAAGTTCTCGCACCGACTTGTACTTTCTAGTATCAAGCTTTTGAAGCCAATCAGTGGCAATCTGTGCCTGCTGAGGGTTGTGCCATCGAGCTTCCACTAAGTCCATAAAGCTCTCCAGGGTGTGGGTCTGCACTCAATCACCCATGTTCCTACCGAATCCGTTTGAAGCTACCAATCCATTAAGCCAGCGAGCTGCTGAACCCTCTAAGTAGGATGCAGCAGTTATCACTTCCTCTTCTACCAATATCCTCTTTGCCCTCACCCAGACTGGAACCGTTCTCAACCACGTGTCGAGAGCCTCATCCTTCTTGTCTCCTGAGAAGGTTGGAGGTGGTTTCAGAGGGGTCTTGGGATACCAAGGAAATTGCTGTACCGTTGGCGATACAGGTGGCGACTGTAGTGTAGCACCGGTCGCTGGACTGAAAGATGAAGAAGCAACAGTCTGAGATAGGGCTGCTGCTGATGTACCACTTGGTGGTGGTCCAGACCGAGCGGCATAGGGGCCTGTCGTCGCTGAGAATGGCAGCGATGGTAGGACTTCTGGCCTGATTCCTGGCCTGTGCATGGCATTCAGGATCTGGTCCAAGGTGTCCTGGATTGTATCTAGTTTACTGTCCATGTATGCGTGCATGGACAGGATGCTCGCCTTCATAATCTTTTCATTATTGCTAAGAGTCGAGTCATCTAACCCCTCTAGCGCAGCCTTGTCTGCCTCCCTACCCTCTAGTCTGACACTCCTATCTCTAATCTCTTTCTCTCTTTTAGTAGCCTGCCTGAGTTCCTCCTCTAGCCTCAAGCGAATCCTCTCTACCTGTTGGAGCTCCATCTGCTCCCGGGTGCATGGAGGTGGCGAGCTGAACTGCGAACCCGCCATCTGACTAGTGCCAGCTCCTGAGGTACTGGAGATGGACTGTGAAGTCGAGTTGAGTGGCATACCCAGACTCTGACCAGCAGCAGAAGTGGCTGAAGAGGTAGCCATTGCTACCGCACTAGCTGCTGCTGCTGCTAACGCGCGTTCAGCCCCTGCTGCTGCTAACGCGCGTTCAACCGTTGTTGCTGCCTGTCTCGCAGTCTCTAGATTGTGGGCTCTTGTCTCAGCCCTAAGCCTTCTCTCGTCTCCTAGTAGTAGAACCTGGAACACAACGGGTATCCTACCGGTATCCCGTCGTGTCTGCCTCCTATCGTCAAATCTATCCTCCCCACCCTCTGATCCGCTCATGGGCTAGGCAGACGCCGTTTGCACTAATGTCCTCTTTGGGACCTACCGCAGCATACATCTGACCGGTTCTAAAAATATATCAAATGATAGGCCGACAAGTTACCCTAGACTACTAGTCAAGCGACATCAACAACACCTTCACAAACTGTACACATGTAGTCTACCTTTATCTTTGATTACTTATGCACAGAAGCTTTAATATTACATGTTGCGCCTGCAACAGGCTGCACGGGCCATTTTTAGGCCCGTGTCGTCTTCAGCCCGAAAGCCTGAAAACGAGGGCGTACAGGCCCTGTGTCGTTTTCTGCCTAAAAGCCTGAAAACAAGGGCCTACAGGCCCTGTGTCGTGTCAGCCTGAAAGCCTGAAAACAAGGCCCTGTGTCGTTTCAGGCTAAATCAGGGCCTTTCCGACCCTGAGTATTTTCAGCCTGAAACTGAGGGCCATTTTCAGGCCCTCATCAGTTCGACCTGCCTTGAAACTCAGGCACCAGACCAGGGTTTTAGCTCAAGCCATTTTTGGCCTATTTTCAAGACAACCTTTGTTTGAGCTTCAACCCCAGGGTCTGGCACGTTTTGGCATTGGCAAGATTAGCCTCATGGACGGGCCACTACTATATAAGACTGGCCCGCCCTGCAGGCTGCAGGTAGTTGGGAGGCCGCTCCTAGGTACTTCCCAGGCACTTCACGTGCAAGGCAGGAGGCAGCCAGTAGTCTTCAGGATTCGGCAGCAGCACTCTGGAGGGAGCGCTGCAGGAGTAGTAGTAGCGTTAGCATTAGTCTTCAGCGCTGGGCGCAATAGGTAGTTGTAGTCTTCAGCGCTGGGCGCCATAGCTAGGATAGCACTAGAGAGAGAGAGATTGGGCGGAGGCCAGGAGTACCTACCTGCAGCGTCGTTGCTCCAGCTTCGTCTTCGAGGTACCTGCAGCACAGCGCCAACTTCACAGGTTAGTATCTGGCTCGTGACAGAGAGAGAGTTCTTCTTCTTCCTCTTCTCAGTCCACCATCTCCCTCTCACCCTCTCATTAGCTGACTTCACTGCATCAGCAGACTACGAGAGAGAGAGAGAGAGAGAGAGAGAGAGAGAGAGAGAGAGAGAGAGAGAGAGAGAGAGAGAGAGAGAG